CACCAAATTGTAGTTGTGATACATTCCTTTTCACCGAGGCTTTATATCGGTTATAATTGTCACGTGACTTTTTGATTTGCATATTCAAAATAGTTTTAATATAATGTATTCATTAGGAGAGTAATCACCAGGACCATTCTTGTAAAAATCTATCTATCGTTGCTTAGATTTTACCTTTTGGTTTATACACCCAAAAAGAGTTCCAATATAAAAAAAAAAATCGTTCTTTTTCCAAACAAAGAAAACTTATGCTACATGAACATGTGCTAAACTGCGCGATTCCATAAACAAGAAACAACTGTTGAGTTACAAAACAACATATCGTACTGTGAACAAAATAGCTCCAATTAACAGTAACAGACCAATAAGTCTGAAAAGAAACAAGGAACGTCAAATCATGCCAGTTGTGTGAGTGTGTTTGTGATGTACGCTTGCGTGAGTCAGGTATTCTTTTTAAACGTACCATTGAAGATACATTTATAAAAATAAATACAAGTGGTGATGATTTCCAACTTGCCGAATTTTTACATGCTAGAATCCGGGTTTCGATACCCGTGGTGGACAGAGCACAGATAGCCATTGTGTAGCTTTGTGATCAACTTAAAAAAAGAAAAAAAAATTACGCACACTTTTTGGTTAAGCAAAATTTAAAGTGCTGTCATCTACCGGTTTAAATGTACACTGAAGGAAAGCAATGCGTTTATTGAGATTGTATGTTATAATCAAAATTTGAAATCTTGAGTTACCAATAAATAGTCTTTATACAATAATTCATACGTCTATTTTATTTTTAACCACACAGTAAAAAATGTGATTATTCGTAAGATATCAGAATTAATACTAGGACTGTATAACGAAACCTTCACATATTATTGTAGTATTCAAATGTATTATATATATATAATATTTAAAAAACAGTCCGCACCAATATATTACTTACTGTGAAAAGGAAATTCATCCGCATTAAAATATTCGTATTTAATTCTTTTTGAAATGCTTACATTCTGGAGCGCCAGTATGAATTTCTATTTTAATCAAATACAAAACTTGGTTAAAATAAGAACGTTATAAGTGAAATAAGTGCTTTTGAAATATATGCTTTTTGTATTATCTAAATGAAAAAAATGAAGGAATTTAGTATCAATGTGAGAGTTTATGCCCCCCCCCCCCTCGACATTCTTATTTCTACACATGAGAATAATCATAAGCCGGGAGTAGCTTAATTTTTAGGATGCTTAAATTTAAATAACGAAGACGTGTTCAAATTGGAAACTTAAGAATTTCAAAAACTGGAATATAGTTTGTACTTAAAGGCATTGGAAAATAAAATATGGATTAAATTGGGGCATCAGTACAATCCAGAAAGAGACCCATGGCTTAATCTTTAGGATGCTCATACTGTGAATCCTAGGGTTTATAGTTCCCATTGCACCACAAGAACGCGCTCCGCACTTTGGTCCGTGACGACGCTATAAAAGTTATGATCAAATTCATTAATCAGTCTGACAAAAGCAGCGCAAGAGTTAGCGGTGGGTGTTCTTGACTAGCTGACTTCCCTATAAACTGGCTCGGCATGGCCAGGTGGTTAGGGCAGTCGACTCGCAATCTGAGGGTCGCTGGTTCGAAACCCCGTCACACCAAACCTGCTCGCCTTTCATCCGTGGGGACGTTATAATGTGACAGTCAATTCCACTATTCTTTGGTAAAAGAGTAGCCCAAGAGTTGGCGGTGGGTGGTGATGACTAGCTGCCTTCCCTCTAGTCTTACACTGCTAAATTAGGGACGGCTAGCGCAGATAGCCCTCGTGTAGCTTTGCGCGAAATTCAAAAACAAACAAACAAACAATCCCTATAACCAATAGTTCTCAAACCTTTTTCGTTCGCGGACCACCTGATTTTTTTTTTTATATACATCTCAGCGGAACACAACGGGATTTAAACACCATGCTGTCGCTTCCTTTCCATAGTTGTGTAACTTTTCCACGCACCATCCGAAGAGAGTCTGCGCGCCACAGCTTAGGAACCTCTGCTAACAGTTCGAAATTAGGGACGGCTACGCATGCGCACGTGGCCCTGTAGCTTTGCGACAAACTTTTGAAACAAACTAAAAACGATGGAAATTAAACTGTTAGCATGTTTCATATGATCTGTCGTCGTCACATTATTCGCGGTAGAATTTAACACACGTACAGTTTACGGATATTCGTACAATACTACATAAAGTCTGTCTTCGCTAATCGTCTCTAATTTTGAACTGGTACAGTAGGTGGAAAGAGACGTAATCAACAACACCCACCGTCAACCCTTCAGACGCTCTAATCGAATAGTAGGATTTACTCTTATAACACACACAAAGATAAGCACAGTTTGTTTGTTTTTTGCGGTAATAGGACGCGAACCATGTATCCTTGGATCCACCGCCCAACACGCTAACCTTTAGCCCTCGTCTGGCTCGTTGGTGACAAAAAAAAAACGGTTTCTAGCGCTATAGTCTGCAGACATTCCGCTGTGCCGTTGGGGAGATTCTTATTAAAACGATGTTAACCGTAACTGTGGAATTCTTGATCAATCTACTGATCACCAGAAGTGTTTGTTTCTTGCCCGCATGGCCAGGTGGTTAGGGCGCTCGACTCGCAATCTGAGGGTCGCGGGTTCGAATACTCGTCCCACCAAACATGCTCGTCCTGTCAGCCGTGGGGTTGTTATAATGAGAACTGTCAATTGGTAAAACGAGTAGCCCAAGAGTTGGCAGTGGGTGGTGTTGACTAGCTGCCCTCCCTCTAGTCTATCAATGCCAAATTATGGATAGCTAGCGCAAATAGCCCTCGTGTAGCTTTGCGTGTAATTCAAAACAAACCACCTAAGCATATCAGTAAGTAGTATCAACATCAGATGTACCTGTCTATGTCTTTTATTACGTTGTAGATACGTTAGTTTGTTCCGTTTGAACAGAACGGTATTTGCTTGTTTTAGAAGTTTAACGAAAACTTACACATGCGCTTTTAGCGCACTGATGTCTCCAATTTTGATCTGACAGACATAAGGAGAAGGTAGTTAGTTAATCAACAACGCCTACCACCAACTCTTCTTTGACTGAATAGAGAATTTGATTATCAAATGCGTTTTTTTGCGGCAACAGGGCGTGAGCCTTGAATTATCGACGTTTCGTTTCTTTACCAAATATTGTCTTTTTAATATTAGTACGTTAAAACAGGGTAGAATGTCTTGTTTACGTCATGAAAGATTTACCGTTTACGAAAATCCAAAAACAAAAATAATAAAACTTTTAAAAAAGACAATTTACTGACCCGACTGGTTTTGAGAAACATACACGAGACTATTAGTATAATCTGACTATATTTTAATGAATATAATATTTTATAACTCACTTAATAAACAATTTTTGTTTTTTCATGGCGTAATCCGAAATAAAGATTTTGGAAATTAACAGTTTTCCCCCTAAACCAGACACTACGGTTTCACTTTATGGTGAGTTTCAAACTCCGTAATATTCTATCCCACCGTCAGTTAGAAGTCGTTTAATGATGAAATTATCGTCTGATAACAAAAATAAAACTTATACCAACAAAACTGTAATGCCATTTAAATTTCAGTTGTATTTTCTACAATTTATATGTGATCCTTTGTGCTCTTTTATCAAAATTGAATTTTCTATATATTTTTCTGTTAAAACTATTTCTTCACAAGCCCATGTCATAAAAATTCCTTGTCGTATAGCATAAAGTAACCAGATGTGTTTATATGTTAAAGGAAGTATGTATAGGTAAATGGTCCTCTCTAAAACATTTTCCTTACAACTATACGACGAACCGTACTTTTAAGAGTCTATATAAACATTAAACATATTTAGCGCCATCTAGTGAGCTAAACGACAACTACATTTTTCCTTGTCTTGTGGTCATAAAAAGGAAAGATTCGGTAATACACATGAACAACTCTACACGTTTAATGCCGTAAGTAATGGCTATTTTGGACTGCATCACACGTAAACGTCACTTTCGATTGTGTAGAAGTTTTATTTTATTCATTTACTTTTTTTGGGGGGGTAGTGGAACAGGTTCTCTGCCAAATACCATCGAAATTGGGTTGGCTAATTCCTCAAAACCTATGCCACCAGGCAGACGCACAACTCTGCTTGATATATATACACCAAACCCCCCTCCCTGTTTTAAGATTTATCAAGAATACAGAGGCTATTTCTCTCTTTACACACACATATTCTGTATTTAAATTATCGCTATGCACAATGTTCACATTTCTTGGTTAAGTGTCTTTTGTACCAACTTGTTTAGGGACAATTCTCATATTGTCGTGTATGACGTCTATACCGTACAGTATTTGTTTTATCGTATTTATTAGTTCATTAACAAACTTAGATACGAGAGAAATGTGCTAATGAACCGTAAAACGTGTCAACTTTACGTGGTTTATATTCTTCAGCTTGAATAGGCTAATATACAGTAAGGGGGCTTGTGTGTGTGTGTGTGCATTTCAATTATTTGACTAGAACACAATTTTTCAATTTACTCAGAATCCACAAATATTCGAAACCTTTATTCCAAGCATCTTCATCGATCATAAATAAAGTAACAGATTGAAATACAAAAGTCCACGTTAAAATGTTAAATAAGAGTCCGTTCGGAATAAACTCAAGTCTGAATTCCACCAACTAGAGTTCCCAGTGTCATCATCATGGCCTGGCAGTCTTTCAGTTTTCTTTTATCGCCAACTTTCTCCAAAATGCGTGCTGCGTCTGTAAGCATGCTTTCACGAGCTCCTGGGGAAGACAGCATGGGTTGTGGAAGGTGTCGGCAGGCCAGGATGAGAGCATAAGCATGATCCCTGTCACCGGGTCCTAACTGTCCGGCTCCTGTAAAAATGGAGATGTTTATTTTTTTTTACTTCTAACTGGATATTCTCGTGTATTCATCTTGTATCTGTCTCCATCACAATTGATTTCTGGACTTTATCAATTTGTATTCGATGACTAGGAACCCACTTTGAGACTAATAATGCTTGGAGACGGCTTGAATAGGTAATGAAGAAAATCTTTAATACAAGTTTAACAGCAAATGTACAACGTTTTTGTCATCATCAGGTACCATTCAAGCTGTCTCTAAGCATTATTTATCAATTTGTGTTCGGTAATAATGATAATAATAATAATAATAAAAATTTAGGACAATTATTATAGAACAGATCTATAGATTAACAATTTGGCTGATTAATGATTAACTGAATAGACTAATTATTAAATAATTCAAGTCATGGATTTAGATAACTTTGTTGGTTATGGATTTTGTGCAAAGCTACACGAGGGCTATCTGCGCTAACCATCCCTAATTTAGCAGTGTAAGACTAGAGGGAAGGTAGCTGGTCATCACCACCCTCCGCCAACTCTTGGGCTACTCTTTTACCAACGAATAGTGGGATTGATCATCACATTATAACGGCGAGCATGTTTGGTGGGACGGGGATTCCAACCCGCGACCCACAGATTGCGAGTCGAACACCCTAACCACCTGGCCATGCCGGGCCTATAACTTAGTACAACTAGCATACACATCCCAGACAATCCATTTCGTACAAATTATTTTTTTCATCAAACCCCCTATAAACTAGTAGAGGTAAGTTGACTGAAGAAATAGAATTGTACCAATGAATAGCTTAAACACGTGTTACTTTAAATTATGTGGTCCATTACTAGTATAAACATATTAATGTTGGTTGCTTAAATTGCAAACTATTTTAAAGGTTAATTATGCCAATAAAAAGCCCAGTAATACTGAGGGTAATTCAGTTAAAAGTTTTTGGTGGGAGTCCTATTATTAGAGCTCCTGTAGTCAACCAAGTTATGGACCCACAAGCAACCCGATGGATTCCACACGGGCTGCAATTATAAGGTTAAAACTTGTAAATCTTAGTTAAAAATTGGAGTATTTTTTTTAAGACCTTCATAAAGTTACTTACAAATAGAATTTCCAAGCATATACATTTAGTTTAAAAGAAACAAGGGTTCTTGTACTGGTGTTTACTCACCACCTTGTGGTAGACACGAGAAAATAAGAAAATTTAAGTCTATCTAATTTTCAAAATAAACAAAATTAAAAGCTGAAAAGTGCACTTTAAATAGATACTCATTTTACCTTTGGTGTAAATGGCAGAAGACGAAGAATCCGATCTTTTCCTTAAACTACAGTCCAAAAGCAGGCGAGTTTTTGTTGGGTTTGCTTCCGTAATCAATCGGAGAGTAGCTTCGTACAATGGCAGCTGTTGAGAACAAAAATAATGTGAGAAACATCTCGAAGACTTTTGCAAAATTACCTTTCCACTCTTAGTGACTACTGACTAATTACAAAACCTCCACCTAGTTAGTTTGTTTGTTTTGAATTTTGCGCAAAGCTACACGAGGGCTATCTGCGCTAGCTGTCCCTAATTTAGCCGTGTAAGACTAGAGGGAAGGCAGCTAGTCATAATCACCAC